TTTCTGGATTTTAAACTAAAATCGTTAATTGTGTTATTTTCTATTTTAGTATGTCACCGTAGCGCTAGTTGTGGCGCGAGGGGAAGAGAGAGAGGAGGGCACCTCCTCTAACTGGATTAAATCCAAAGAAGTTATGTGGCCAGGGTTCGTGGATGTGTCTGCAATTCAATCAGAGGGAACCAAGCGTAAGGTATGAGGCGTTGTTCCTCTCATCAACTGAGTTTTCTCAGGTTATTACAGTAGCAGTGTGGTGTTGCCATCAACTATTTGTGATCTTGTTGAGGATAATTGAAGTACGATTTGTGATGTGTTTTGTTTCGATTTTTGCGCTTATATAGACTGGCAAACAGGCATTGATGATTATGACTTGACTCTACAGCAAATCATGATGAAGAATGTGGTGTGATCGGTTAAGAAAAGAATGTTTTGATATGATTTTGAAATAGTATGTTTAGCTATATTGAACATTTTAACGGATAGACTTCGTTACAAAAAGGCGTATCTGACCTACTGTGAGTTACTTGCAGTGTTTGCTTAATCATCGAACTGTTCTATTTGAGCCAGAAATTGCTTCGAGTTACCATTTTAACAACTTGTCAGAGGAAGTTATGGTTACGATTGTGCAGAAACGCAAATATATCTACGTTGTAGGCCGAGGGAAATAGTTCCTCAAATCGAAGACACTAGATTTGTTTCATGATTGGTATGTAATGTATAATAGATTTAAATAAATTTCTCATTTTGTATCTGAAGACTTCGACTTCTTTATTTATTATGATTTATCGTATACTCTTACTGGTGTCAGGATCGCGGCCTGACGTCACAACGGCCAAGTAGCACGAGGAGAATTCGAAGGATTTTGCTTGTCATCATATTTTCTGGAGACTGTTTGATTTTCTGAAGAAAGTGGGTGTGCGTTGTGCCGATACAATGATGAGTTGTATTAAATTTTTGCAACATATGCAAGCTCACAGTAGCCGTAGGTATATATATATATATGCTGCGAGGTTGATGAACTTTAATGGGTGCACACACATTAAAGGGTTACCTGGGATTTTTGAACCTACCGCTGTTCAGGAAGTGAACTATTGTTCCGAACTGTCACTTTAGTCTGGTAACAATCCGTCATCCTTTGCAGAGATAATTTAATGTTGTAATTTAGTAATTACAAATCACTTTATTCCAGACATGTCAGTCAGTGAAAGGCGAGACTAGTGAGGAACAGGATAAGACAACTTCTGTCTCAAAGACAGGCACGTATTTGATCTCTATGCATATCACATAAACATTTATAGTAAAATTGCATTGCCACAACATGAAAAATAGCTTTGCTGATTTAAAATTTGTGAAGCATGTTCTTTGCCGCTAGTCCCGAAAAAGTTTGGACTTGAAACAACTGTATCTGAGTTAATCAGGTGCTCATCTTGATCCAGATCATGCTCACCATTGAGGTCTCGCTGCAGGTCCAACTCACTGTACAGGTCAAAGTCACGCTCCAGGTCCCTCACTGTACAGGTCAGTCTCGCTCCAGGTCCCACTCACTGCACGGGTTAGTCTCGCTCCAGGTCCCACCTACTGCACGGGTCAGTCTCGCTCCAGGTCCCACTCACTGCACAGGTCAAAGTCTCGCTCCAGGTCCCACTTGCTGTACAGGTCAAAGTCTCGCTCCAGGTCTCACTCACTGCACAGGTCAGTCTTGCTCCAGGTCCCACTCACTGTACAGGTCGAAGTCCCACTCCAGGTCTCTCACTGTACAGGTCAAAGTCTCGCTCCAGGTCCCACTCACTGTACAGGTCAAAGACTTGCTCCAGGTCCCACTCACTGTACAGGTCCTACGACAAACGTGCGAAGCAGCTCAACTTCGAGGTAGGAGACCCGGTGTACTACCATGATCCAGTGTTAAAGCCGAACACTATAAAGAAACTTGCGTCACCCTAGCAACCGTACCACACAGTCATTCAGGTATTATCCCCGAAGAAATACCTGCTCCAACACGAGATCACGAAGCGAGAGGTGATCTCACACGTGGAAATCGTTCGGGCAGCGCACCCACACGCTAGATGGGATTGCGGCAAGCCGACACCACAAGACGATGTGCCAACGGGAGTACGTCGACAGCCTCATAGGGCAGCAACAATGGCATATCCACCCGACGACGAGGGAAGTAGCGATGATGAGTTTGACGAAGAGGATGAGCTCCCTCTAAGTCACTTCATCACAGCGCACAACACGCAGGCTTCAGCGGGCTCTACAGAGCAACCGCAACCGTCAACGTCTCGTGCAGTTGATCCACTCGCGATGGATCCATCTGCAAGTGACATTGAGGCACAGGAGCCTAATCCCACTCAGCGAGTTGGCGACAGTGATGTAACGTTGGAATGCGAGTTCATGTAGAAATCACGTCGATCAAGATATCGGAATTTGATGTTGACATCCGTTATAAGGAAGGCCGGTTTAATGTACAAGCGGACGCGTTATCGAGGCTTATAACAGATGTTCCAGTCGACCAGACTGATAGCAAGGGCTACATCACTGTTGAGGTACCACGAGAACATGCGATGCTCGTCGCACCTGTAATCTTGCAGGAGGAGGATGGTGCGGCTGTGGTGCGTGAGGGTGACAATGATAATCTTGAAACAGATCTCGACGTTTCGTCACAGC